GCCTCGGGATTGAACTCTGTCTCCCGTTCCCAACGAGATGCCATAATCGGCTGTCTGAGTCGGCCGAAGATGTAACCTGTCGAGGATAGGCAGAGCCAAAAAATTATGGGTAGCTCCCGTGTCAATCAAAACCACCACCGGGCAGTCCTTGATGTGGTCGGCTAACCGGAGAGTAGACGGAGAGGTGACGCCAATGGACGATTGATAAGACAACGCTGCAAATTCCGCCGAATCCAGGAGCTTCTCCGAATCTGGACCCATTTCCTCCTCCGAAATCAGCTCGAATTCCCCCTCCTCCTTGACCATAATGACTTGAAGCTCGCGATTTTTACAGCGGTAACCCGCCGGAAGAGGTTGTAATAAACCTGTGGGTGCCAACGTGGAATATTTGGATTATTGACAGACCCAACACTCCGCCACATACTTCTGAATGACCCCTTTCATCCCTTTCCAGTAAAATACCCCCTGAATACGCTTAAGGGTCTTCAGCATACCCGCATGCCCCCCATCGGACCATCATGAAACTCATGGAGAATTACGGGAATAAATAATGAGGATGCTGGAATCACAAAGCGATCCTTGAACAAGAGAATACCTTGTCGGATATGATACCCCGCCGGTGCCCCTTGTTGATTGACAAGTTGCTGGAAAATAGCTTTTAGGTCCTGATCAGCCTCCACCTCGCTTTGTAACTGGTCCAGCTGTATCATTGATGGAACAGAAATGGCAAACAGGGCTGATAAAGTCGACATACCCGGGGACAGTGGAAGGCGAGACAAAGCATCAGCAGCCTTGTTCTGAATTCCGGGTTTGTAGATGATTTCAAAGTCATACCCGAGGAGTTTTGAGAACCACTTATGATATTCCAGATTCACCTCACGTTGATCAAGCAGGAATTTCAATGCCTTCTGGTCCGTGTGGACCACAAAGTGCCGTCCCAGCAAATAGTGTCGCCAATGCTGTATCGCCAAGACTACGGCCATGAGCTCGCGCTCATAAATGGGTTCCAGCTGGTCTCTAGGAGGTTGTAGTAGGCGATAGGTCTTCCTTTCTGCATCAACACCGCACCCACCCCATGACCCGAGGCGTCGGCTTCGACAATAAAACAATCCTTGAAATCCGGT